TTTCCCTACCCTGCCTTTGAATTGTATGTCCAACAGGTAAGAAACGTCAACATTAACAAATGTTAACCTGTGAAAATATAACCAATTATTGTTACATTTTTCTTATTCAATTTAGGGCTAGGCTTGCCTATGTAAGTATCACTCAAAACAGGCACTATTTTGCATCAAGAGTAATACTGGTGGCATTTAGTTCCAATATTTTCCTTCAGGGCCATATTCCTTTCCCCAGGCTTTGAGGGGACACATTTCCTGAAGGATGGTGAGCGACAGACAATGGCATGACCACTGCCAGTGCATTGCAGAGGGGGAAGAGACCCTTAACTCAGTGTATGCAACCACATAAACTCCATGAGAGTTTAAGTCACCCTAAATTAAGTTTAATAAAGAATAAGTCAATGGGACTATCTAAATCTATATTTTCAATTAAGTATGGGAGAGAACTAAATATAGCAAAAGGCGCATTTTGAGTCTAATTATTTGATCTGATATATCCTAAATTCTGAACTTCATGTTATACACATCACAAATAGGTGCACAAATTAAAATATGTCATCTGCATCATTTACTGTGAGCTGACATCTCCTGTGCCTCCTGTGTTTGATTAGGAAAAGACATAGACATACTCTTAGGTTTAACACTTCTCAGGTAAAATCCTGAAGTACGTAATTACTGAGAAAAGATTTTTTTTTCCAGTTGCATGATCTGTAGAAGAATTGGCAACATTCACCCAGAGAAATCTGCAGGAGCAGATAGCTCATGCAGTGAGCATGCTATCACTCTGATTATACTTGTCTAGCAAATATTGCCTTCAATTTATTGTACATATATTGACTGAAGGGTGGTGGTGGGGTTTTGTGTGTGTCTGTTTTCCTATGGGAGAGAAAAATAAAGCTGGAAAATTAAGTGATTTGAAAAACTAATTGTTCCTGGCTCCTCTTTTGACAATGTGTCCACTCCCAGACTACCTCGGCAACTGATTTTCTACTTTATTACTATGTCAGATGCAGAATTCAGTTTTCAGTGGGTGATGGAACTATTTATTGTGTTGTGATAAAGCTAATGTTTTTAATATTCCCTGGAAGTTTTCAGTATTGTTATTTTCTAAGATTCCAGAACAGAGGGAATGACAAAATATTTGTATGAAGGAGCAGGCAGTCTCAGGGCCAACTCCACCCTCCTGGTGTTGCCCTGACAAACACAATAGGTTGCAGTGAAATCAGAAGAAACATATGCATCAGCAGATGCCATGTAAAATTAGATGCGATCATAAAAAAATGGGGCAAGGAGGCCATCCTTATTTTGTCCTTGCAAGGCGGGATCAACCAAACTATTTGTAAAGCAAACCGAGATGGTGAGACGAGGTCGCTCCTTGGCACAACACGAGACTGACGTATGGCAGAGACAGGGTATAAAGCAAGGCTTGTCACATGCCTGTGCACCACATGCTCCTTGATGGTTTATCACAGTATTTTTACATGGAGAATAAACAGATATATGTGGGACTGAATAGTGAATATGATTCCTAACAGCCTATATGTAGTTATTAATGACAGGAAAATAAGAATTGCTGATGCGGAGGCGACCCCTAATCCACCTGGCTCAGTTCTCTTCCCCACTGGTCCAGACCAGGAACCCAGAAAGAAGCACAAGAAATCACACTGGAAGCTATCAAAACCTGTTTCTTAGTGGCTGGTGGGTTTATACAGCTTTAGAAAGTATTTTCTATTTCTACCCCTTATTATTGCAGTGCTAGGTAATCTTGTTTTCCTTAAAAAATGTCCACTCTTTTTCCAATAAGCTTCTAGTTGCGTGCTATTTTCTGCCTTTCTCAGTAGGCATTCACATAGCTTTCATTACCGTGACATTTATATGGCCTTAATGCATTTCTCCTCACAATTATCCTCTGAGGAAGAGCAGAACTGCTTTTAATCCCCTTGTGCTGCTGGGAAGCCCAACCCTGGCCCACATGGATGCCTCCCTGTGCCTGCCGTGCTTCATGCCTATGAGCAGCGGCTGGGAAAGTTAGCTGAGAGAGCAACTTCCCAAAGAACCAGCAAGGTGCCTGGGAAGTGCCATGTCCTCAGAGAGGTGCCTCTTGGTGAGTTCCGCACTGAGCTTTTGATGTTAGGGGAGTGTTGATGTCTCCGTCCCCCTGGGATGGGGCTCATGGATCTGCTCCCTGGGGCAGCCCGGGGCTGGGGAGGCTCTCCATGCTCCTGTGCCTGGGTCCTACCTGCCAGCTCATCACCCACAGTGTAGAAGAAACAGGTTGCACCTGTAAGGGGCTGAGCCTGCATGTGTCATGCACTTAATGATCAGAAATTATGCTGGGCTGAAGACACTCATAGCACCTTCTTGCAACTGTGCCACTTTGCATGGAACAGCAATGCATTTCTTCGGCACTCTGTGGAAGAGGGAAGACACGAGTCTCAAACCCTGCTCTAATACTGAAATTATTCTAGTAAACACTGAGCAGCTGTCGTCCAACACTACCTATACCAAAGACAATGTCCGTTCATTTCATTGTCTTGCAAAAGCTTTGATGAAATGCAGGAAAACACTTGAATTCTCATGGTTGTCTCCTTTGTACCACCTCTTTCAAATCCACTATAAACTCCCCAAAATCAGAATCTTTCTTTCAGCATCCTTTCCCTTGTCACATAAAGAAACAAGCCATGTACTGCTGTCATTCACAGCGGTGTATTTGGGGAATGAAGGGCATCTCTGGGCGCAGGGAGTCCCTTCATCATCACCGCAGGGCTACTGAGAGCTGAGGGCTGGCAAGCCCAGCCATGGTGGTTGCTCCCTTGGCACCCTTTGCTGGTCTCATGTGAGTGGTTTCAGTTGCTCAGAGCATGACTGCCTCCTGGTTTGACTCTTTCCTGGGTGCTCTTCACTGGTCTCAAAATCAGCTGAAAGGGGAATATGATTTTCACAGTGCAAAACAACTTGATGAAAATGTGCTTTTTCTCCTAAGCCCCAAAGTGGTGGTCTGCACAATGAACATACTGTTGGGTGGAAAGTGGTAGGAAAGTGATGACATTTTAAAGAAGATAAGCAGAGTGAACTAAGCAATCGCAGCCTGCCATCCTGACAGAAATCCTGCCAAAATAATGAAAATCTCATTTGATTAATAAAATATTAAAATAAATAATTGATGCTAAATGCCATAGGTTTAGGAAAACACATCTTGTCAAACTAACTAGATATTTTCTGAGGAGATACTGGTTTGGTAAACAGATGTATTAGTGCTGGTGTGATAGCTTTAGACTTTGGTATGACATTCGACTTAATTCCACATGATGTTGGGGTTACAAAACTTTAAAGCTACACAGTAAGCGTGGCACACATAAATAGAGTTAAAAGCCAGAGAACTGGTATGTCTCAAAATCTCACTATAAATGGAAAGTCACTGCTGAGAGAATGTGTTTTTTAACAGTGACTCCCCCCTTCCCCGCAAAATAGGGTGATGGATACTGGTAGAGTTTGTAAATGACTCAGAAATGTACTCCACTACAAGTGGAGACTAAGCATATTTAGATTAGAAGTAGAGTAATTATTATCATTAAGGGCAATTAGCCGTTACGATAGTTTATCATCAGCTCTGGTGGAGTATTTCATTGAAAAATTTAGCTTAAGGTAGTCTTTTCACTTTTCCTGAAAGAAAGAAGTCTAAATTCAGCTAAAGAGATCAGACTCAGGATAAGAATTATGTAAAGAAAATACTCCGTCTCTGGAAAGGCCACATGAGCACAATGCCTTTTTTTTCTTGGATTTAAAATTTATGAAGTACAAATGTTGGTTAGGTTTACATTTAGAGGGCCAACACCTTCAACTATTCCTAACATCACCAGGTCCAAATAAATACAATGAATAAAAAGACCAACTTCAGCCCTACAGTGAGTGGCTGGATCCAACTTATTGAAAACAAATTCATGAAATAGTACTTTTGGAGCAACGGCATCCTGCAAACTATTTAAGCACCACACAAATCTCACACACTTGTTCTCTTTGACTAAATTTATTTTGAAGGCTCAGCATAAAGACACAGCTCCAGTTCTAATGTTAGCAGGTATCTGTATACACATGGGTCTAGCCAGAAATGTGCATACCAGGAAAGATTAGCCCAGCTACAGAGGGTTTCCCTCAATGTCCAGGCACAAAAATAGAATTTGTGTCACTGGAAAGGAAGTTTCCATAAAATCACAAAGAAGTCTCTGATTACATTTTAGCAAATCTCAGAGTAGGTCCCTCTGAAAATTGCCCTGAGCTACTAAAACCAAAAAACATTGATGAAGCTGTTTTAATCTTCTGGATTAAGCATTAAATGGTTTTGTGTATGTTGTAAAAGTCACACATACTTGTACTGCCTGCAACAGAATATAGAAACAGGACTTGGAATCCTTGGATACGCCCACAGGCTATCTTTACTGGACATGGCTGTAC